AGCAGATAAATCGATGACTAAAAAAAACGTTAGCTGTAGTTCTTTTGTATGCATTATTATTCAAGCCTTAGGGCAGAATAAAATGTCATTGAGTATTAGTACTGCGTCATTTGAAATATTTCTAGTGATAATTTTGTGCTTTGTCTGGACAATAAGTGAAAACCTATTATTATTATAATTATTTTCACAAACGACAAACATATCTTGTTGCAGCTTAAAAGAATAAAACATTCAATCCTGCCTCTTATTGTTGTGGGGTCTGAGAAGGATATGAAACAAAGTAGTCAGCGACAAGGTACAATTGGATGTTTTGCTACTTTCTGAACTCTTGTCACTTCAGATGGTGAGGCGATGAGCAATCTCAAAAAGCTTTGATGCTTGCAAGTACCATTAAAAAAGTTGGTTGGGTTTTATCACCCCGTTTAGGTTTTAAATATATTTAGATATAAATGAAAGCAATGAAATACAACAAAAAGAGCCCCCTCGACGTGTCTGTATGAGCGTGTGTGGTTGTCAGTGCCGACTCCCACAGCAGCAAAAAAGTTGACAGACAGAAGCAGCATGAGTTTGTGTTGATGTATGTAACAGTCATGCAAATGACCATTAATCGAGTCAAAAAGAAAACTATAGCGTCCATTTTTTACCCCATCAAATGATTCGTTGATATCGTGACAGGCCAATGTTTCACGGACCAAAATAAAAAAATTACAGATTTCACTCACCATCGCTGCGCTCAAATGAGCCATGACTGTATACATTTTAAGAAGTAATGTAGGACACAGTATAGTATCAATCCATCCATTTTGTAAACCACTTATCCTCACTATAAGCATTTAAAATGAGCAAACTAGCTCAGGCCAAACAAAAAAGATAGTGTGTTTCCGGTAACAAGAAATTTCAGCATAGGGTCGGTTGGTCGGACAAAGTTTTTTTTAATCTCCCCCCCATCAAAAATTTAATCAAAATAACCATAAAACATAAAACAAGAAGACATTGAACCCGCAACAAT